GTATGTTGCTCCGTCATCTCAGCTCCTGTGTCCAAACCAGTCCGTTCCATCCCTGACCTCGGTATCCTGTCCCCGTGGGTTTCTTCTCTCAACCCCATGTCTCAACTATGCTGCATGTGCGGCCCAGTTTACTTTAAAAGGCTTTTTTCCTATTCTTTTTCCTTAAATTTTTCCCTTAGACTGTCTAGCTGTCTGGGGCTAAAGCTGCCTGTGACTTGAAAGCCACATTGTTTTACCCTTCATGTCCAGTCGGTTAATTCTTCCTAGTTGGCAGCCATGTGATATGCTATTGAAAGCTTTTCATTACTGGAAGAATTTGTTGTTTTTTGCTGTTAGTTGAAGCCATTTTCATTATTTGGTTATCCACAAATTCCCCAAATGTAATAAAATTAATGTCTTCTGTTTAGGTTTTTGAATTTGAATTAGTTCTCTCTAAATCTCTTTTGGGAGGTTGTAGTCTTACAGTTATAAGGACCTTAAAGCCGTCTGCTGTCGCAGATTTGTATTTTTGAGTTTTTCTCTGATAACTCCTTTATATTCTGTACAATTAGAAAACTCTTTGTTCTCCAACAGTTCTTATCTGGTTTACAAAAAAACTTTCTCAGCATTCACACACATTCAGTTAGTTTTCTTTTCCTTATTCGCAATTCGCTTCAGTTCTCACTCGATTCCTTTTTTTTCTTTCGCAATTCAGTCATACCTCTGCAGTAAACACATTCAGCATTCAACAATATTATATTTACTTTGTATTCCCTGAGAATAGCAACCCTTAGTAAAAATCCTTTTAATAAAAATTTTGTAATGAGTCCTGTGACTCACAAATCTTTTGTTATGGGTCCCAGACCCAAAAACAATCCACGGTGCAACAGTGATTTCCTGACTATAGTACATTTACACTAAATCTTTGTTGATTCACACAGCGGGCCCAGGCCTCACCTGTCTGTCACACTCACCCTGGTGAATCATTTACCTTGAATAGCATGAACACAAATTAATACAATGACAGACACAATACACACACACACACACACACACACACACATTAAAGAAGACTTTTTAGGCTTCTTATATTTTCTGTGTTATCTATAACGTTACAATGTCAGATGTTCATTTTAAACGTGGTCAAACCTCTACTCTTGGCTCTTAATGATGTCATACAAAACCGGTTTCCCGTATGTGGTAGTGCCTGCAGCTTCAATAATGACTGACTGCAGGACCTCACGCCACGGCCCCTGAGCTACGGTCTGCAGCCAGACCATTCTCCGCAGCCTGGCAACTCCTACGCTTAGGCCCCATCCACACTACTCTGTTTTAGTTTACAAACGGAGAATTAAAACCAATACGATCTCCGTCCACACCAGCGTTTTGGAATTGATCTCCATCTACATTAAAACAACTGAAAACATGAAGCAGATGGTCTATTCCGTAGTTACAGAAGATTTGTAGAAAGAATAAAGAAAGACGAGTTTTATTTTTGCATGCACCAATAATGAGCTGGGACTGTTACTAAATGTAACACGGGAGTGTGGCGGTAGAAAATAGACTGGGAGTCGTCGCAAAGTAAACGCTGACGTGCACAGTGCAAGTGTAGGCAGATAAGTGTTATTTGCATGGTACAGAATATTTTAATAAAAATACTATGTTAAAAACTCTGTCAGTAGCATCGTGTTTCTGCTTTGCAAGACTTATAAGACCCAATCACAGAGCCGAGCGTGAGTGGCTGTGTCAACGTTTCTAAAGTGCTTCGTTTTGGCCCGTCTCCACTGAAATGCCCTCCGGAGTTTTGAAATGCAAAACAGGGTCAGCAGCGTTTCCAAACTTCAGTTTTAGGTTTACAGTTTCGCTGTTGCAGTCTGGACAGGAGGTGCAAACGTAGCAAAAGGACTCCATTTTAAAAGAAAAACGCAGTATTGTGGATGGGGCCTCAGTCTGTCTGTACCGCTCAGCAGCATAATCATCCTGCTTCAGGATCTTGGCCAATCAGAACACAGTGGGCTTTTGGAGGGGGGAGGGGGTGGCTTAAAGAGACAGGCTCGTGTCAGGCAGAGGCTGAAATGAGAAGCTGTACCCCAGAAATGTATTTTTGAAAACCTTGAATCATTCAAAATGATACAAAGTTTAAGGTTAGCAATCCAGTTTAGTGTCAGCCTTCAACAGCCAGCCTTCACACTGAAATTTCTCTAGAAATTGCACTGTCCAGTTGAAGTTTCAAATTAAAGTTAAACATAAGTTAAAGACTGTTACGGGGGTGGTGTGGTGTGGGGACAGAGAGGACCCAAACGCAGCACTCTGAGGGAAGGAGGTTTATTGAGGGAAAAAAGGGGTAGAAGGGACTAGAGTGGAGGGAGAGGTGGATGTTGGGGAAACACAGGCACGGGGAACCAAGGAGACTGAGGCCGAGGAAGAGAGGAGCAGGGGAGAACAGGGAGGACGCCGTGGGGGGAAGTCCGAGAAGGAGAGGGCCGGTGGATGAGCCCAGCCGACTGAACGGAGGACGAGGGTGAGTGTACCTGGGAGGGAAACAGACAGAGAGATAGGGTTAGAGATAACAGAGACAAAGCGCAGGGAAAATGTGAGAAAAAACAAGAAACATGACAGCCTGAATGTGGAGGTGGCACCGGGTATGGAGCAACGATGATCAAGCAAGAGTGGTGGGGAGAACTGGGGTTGAAATACAGGCAGGGATGAGGTTGACTACTGGCAGGTGTGGCAGGCTGACGAGGTGGCTGATGAGGGGCAGGTGCGGGTCGTTGGCTGGGCTCAGGAGCAGAGGGAGAGAGGAGGACAACACAGGGAGGCAGGCAGGGAACAGAAAACCAAGGAAAAAGCAGAATAACTGATAAGGAGAAAAAAACCAAGATACTCACCGTCAGCCACCACAACAAAGACTCCGTCGAAACGGGTAGGATCTTACAGCTCCCAAATGGATTTTCATTAGTTCTGCTACTGCTTGTCACCTACATTACATTTTTATCTTTGCTGCAAGAAATAAATCCTCCCATTGATTTAAGAGAAAATATGGACCTTTCCTTTAAACACAAAGATGCCTGGATCGACCTTTTATATCCTATTATACCAGCATTTGTTCTCCAGTCCAGCTGCTGATCCAGCATAGATTCCCAGTATCTCTCCCCATCACAGCTGTATCAGTGCTCACAGAGATGTGAACTGCACTGGATTTACACTCACTTATTAAGCAATAAATCTGATCAGTTTCCTCCCTGTTGGTTTCTTTGCATGAATCGACTCCAAGTCTTTCCTCTTAATGATTTTAACTCATTGTAATTTGTAGATTGTAACCGGCCTCAAACTCTCCCTACTTTTCTCATTTTCTGCATTGTTTGAGGTACTGCCGTAGCTTACATATTTGTTCTCTGCCAAGAGTGTAGTTAGCGCCTGTGTTCCCCGGTCTTTCACTCGGTCCTCAGTGACTCATCAGAGCTCCTCCTGTGTGTGTGTGTGTGTGTGTGTGTGTTTATCACAAATAAACATCCGTGCATGAGCATGTTGTCATAAGCATGCCCAAATAGAGCACATAAGAGGGAAAAAAACATGGGTGGAGGTCTCTATCTTAGCCTTACCCTACTACTTGGTTAGGTTTAGGGGGGGAAGGGCAGTAAGTCTTTCTGCCAGAAACATCTATGCTGGAGGAAAAGGGTCATAACAATTCTGCACCTATTTTTCTGAAGTTGCATGGCCCATGACAATGTAGGCTACTCATGAGTGTATTGTTGACACAGAGTTTATTAACTATTATGTAGGCCTACATATTTATACTACGTGTGTTACTCCTTCTCCTTATGTGCATTTATGATGTGAAAACCAGTGGAGGACAATGAAAGTGAAGATCCTGATATCTGGACACCCGGCAAGGGCCTACAAATATTGCCAAAGCTTTTTAAAATATTGAAGAAAAAAAAAATACATTTTTAAATCTGACACACTGCAAACTCATCACAGAAAACTCTACTATGATTGGTGCATTGCGGCTTGTGACATGTGTGACTTTTTCTTTTGAATCGCATAGATACACAGATACACCAGCAGCACTCACAGAACACACAGAACACTTAATGCAAGATTATTGAACAATACTTATAAAAATAATCGTAATAGTAATGTATTACAGTAGGTTGTAGTGTGGTGTCCGAACAATAATGCTGCGATGATGTGTTGAGAAGAAATCCGCTTGACACTGTTCTTGATCATAAAAGTTTATGACATCAAGGAGTTCAGCATCAATTACAAGCTCTGCAGCAGCTTGGAGAGTGACCCAGCCCGATGGCCACTCTGTCTCTCTGTACATCAAACAAAGCTTAAATAGGATATGTGTAGGTATCTGTTAGATACCATAGAAGAGTTCAGTACTATTCTGAGGTAACAAAACAAGGGGTCAGAGGTCAAATTCTACAGAAGGGTTCAGTCCCTACATAACCACCAAACACTGCTCTCCCCTTAAGAGGTCACTGACTCTCTGTCCAGCTGCTACAGTGCTATTTTAAACTGTTATGAGTCAAATGCACAAATATTATACACCACATATTCCCCCCTGCGAGACTTAAGTGAGTCTCGAAAAACCTGTCCGGCAGCCTTCATTCCAAAATCCCTCCAAGACAATCTAGAGAGGAAAATTTTCTCACGGCCCCTCTGCCTTAGGTGGCCACGCATTGTACTCCAGTTTGATTAATAAAAGACATCTTTATCAGTCTATGCAGAGATATGGTTTAGCCAATAGATGTGAAAACCTCAGGAAATAAAATAAAATCAAAACAATGTCCGAATTCAGGCTAGTCAACCCATCGGACCCTCCCACGGACCTTTCCCTGCCTAGACCCCATATCCCTAAACATCAAGAAAAAAAGAAAAAACCTGAGGTCCCCATATATTAACTCCATAACCGAAAGTATAAGTCTTTACACAGTTAACATAAAAAGAATATGATCATTAATTATGAGTCAAATGCACAAATATTATACACCACAGTAGTCTTTATTTGCACACTGTGCTCATAAATAATCTTTCACATATATCTGGTTTTAGGGGCATTAAGCAGTAAAATGGTCGCTGCTGATCCAGATTCCTAGAATAGACAGTCTACCCATCACAGTTGTATCAAAGTATTAACTGTAAACAAAGAGTGAGTTTATCCCTTGAGGGATGTTTATTTAACTTTCATCAGGGCAGCTAATTGACAAAATATCATCCTGTGGAAGCTAATGTCACACTGAATGACACTGGATTAGTCATACTCCTCTGTCTACCTTCCTCTTTTTCTGCATTGTTTGAAGTTGATGTCGCTCATTTGGTCTCTGCCACAAGTGTAAGCGTAAGAGAGGAGGCAGGGGGAAGTCGGCGCCTGTCCATCAGCAAACACCGTGTCCTCAGCCACCCCCTGAGTGTGACTCATCAGGAAGTGCAGAGCTGTGTGTGTGTGTGTGTGTGTGTGTGTGAGGATCATAGCAAGATGTTAGATTACTGAACAATATTTATAACAATAATCAGGTTGTAGTCTTTACTTGTAAACTATACTCGTAAATAATCTTTCCAGTTCACATGTAGGCTTTCTGTTTTAGCGGCATATGCAGTAAAATGGTTGCTGCTGATCAAGCATAGATTCCTAGATTTGGCTCTCTCCCCATCATAGTTGTATTGGATTTACACTCATTCATTCCGTGAACAATCTGACAGGCCTCTTCTTGATCCTTTGTTTGCACTGTTACGTGAGCCAGCTATTGATAACAGTGAACAGGGAGTTGGTCACTTGAGGGATGTTTATTTAACTTTCATCATGTCGACAAACTGTCACATTATCTGGCTGTTTAAACCTTGTTGATTTTCCGGAGCATGCCTTTACACTTCCATTTTATCACAGATCAGTTTCCTTCCTGTTGATTTTTTTGGACAATGAACCCAAATTCTTTCCTCCAAATAACTGTAACATAACACATTGACTACACAAGAAGCATATTTGCTTTATCACTGCCCGCAGACAAAATAAACAAAGGGCAAGTACCTGAAAAACATTGTCCTTTTGAAACTAATGTTAATAATGAACTTGCTTTGTGTGCCTCCACCGTATTCCCCCGTCTACCCTGTTGGCCTGACCACCACCTCCCTCCCACACAGTCAATCATCCCTCCCTCACACATTTACCTCTCACTGTCAGTCATTCAGCTTGGAGTGCGGGCCTCTGTAGAAGCCTTTCACCTGCTGCTCCTCCAGTCCTTCCAGCAGACGAAGGACGCCGCGTCTCTTTGCCAGTACCAGTGGGGTCGATCCGTTGTGGTTACTGTTAGACAACCAACAGAAACAGCACAGTTTGACATCAGGGTCAAAGGAACAGCGCTGCAGGAAATATCATGTAGGCTAATGCAACTTAAAAAGCAAACCATATTTCACCAGCCGACTTGACAAAGTGCCAACACACACGCGCAAACAAACACAACCACATGCAGTTAGTGGTCAGATAGATATTATCTGACCACAAATGACTTTTCATTCATATCCACTTCTGTAATGGTTTAATTTGTAATCTAATCTCAGTAGGCCTAGTGTTGAGCTTTCAGTCAGAGAAAGTGAGTAGCCTGAAGTCATAACAGTTGGCCTGTAGCTGAGATTGTCCATTAGTCATGGTAATAAACACATCTGTGCTCAAGATCGGGTGTTAATAAATGGTGTGTATTCTGTGTAAAGATACTGCAGTTAACTGGAAAAATACTGTGGTTTCATAAGTTTTTTTTTTTTAGTAACATGTTTTATCTGGACAACAGGTGTTAATGTATTGTGCCTGCTGCTCCATAGCATCACTTGTAAGAAACCTCAAGTGTTTTTGAGTCTCACACACAGAATGATGGTGACTGAAGGTTGTGTCCGCTGCCTGCAAACATGTTGTAAGTTTGTTGCACTTTTAATATAGGTAAGTAGGCTAATTTTGTAATTTTACAGAATATTTGCAGGAGGTTAGAAAGACGCAGTGTTGTTGTAATGGGAACATTTTCAGTAATATGATTTACACTTATTTTAGGCTGATAAATACATGTTTTATGATATTTCAAAGTGTAGTCATGGACTGTAAACTAACTATAGCTACATTGTTCCAGAGGTGTCTCTAAATTCTTTACAAACCAGTTTCCTTAAATGCTATTTTCGGTGTGGACACACCCCTCTATTTGAACTGATGCCACTCTAAACTAAAACTTCAATGGCTTCAATAAATTAATGGGCCCAGGCAGTGAACACATGTTAGAACTCACAGTATAGTAATTAATTAATAGAAATTTAAAGTATTAACAGAATAATTCTTTAGAAAGTTAAAGCTTTATTACATGTTTGCAGTCACTGTTGATGTAAGTCTCCATAGCCAGCACATGATCCTTTGGCAACCTATCTAAATAAGTCTTTCTTAAAGACTTCTCATCTCTAAATACTTCAGCATGTAGAAGTAAACATGACACATGAAAATCATTCTCTCTACACCCACACAGATTCAAACCTGCCATCAGCCTCATGCTGGGCACATATGCCCACAGGGAACAGGGAATGAAGCAGCCCCAGCAAAGACGGTGATAAACACATTGACTCTGTTCAAATGCCAGCCCCTGACAAGGCACAGCCTGCACAGTCCCATTACTAAATCACCCTCTTTCAAAGACTTGAGCCGGCTCCGTCTCACATTCTTGACATATCCCACTAAACCATCAATATGACAGAATATTTCCACTTAGTCTGACGCAGACAATTGACCACACCTAAGGGCTAAGCTATAAAAGCCGTCTACGACGCCTCTGCTTCAGCACTCCGGCGTAGACGGTGGGGATAATGTTTCGGCTTCAGCTTTTCTCGGCACTCATCCTCGTACATATTCTGAGTTCTGTATCGTTAGGAGAATGTGTGCACGTGATTCTGGGGGATCCTGTTACGTTTCCAGTAACTGGAAACTGTGGGATCGGTGAGCCGGCTGCTCTGTACCGGGTCCGGCAGCACGGTACCATTCAGCTGGTGGCCCGCCTAGAGCAAGGTGTTTGCAAACCGAGCGAAGATTACAATGACAGAATGAATCAAAGCTTGTGTTTCCTCTCCAGTCGGTACACGGACACCGGACTATATCAGTTAAACTGCGGCAGCCGCGAGGAGAACATCCAGCTGGATGTGGTTGTGGGTTTTGAAGTGTCAGTCAAAGAAGGAAAACCGGTGAAACTCCCGTGCTACTACTCTACTACAGGTAAACACGTGGAGGCTGTACGCTGGTGGAAAAAGGAGGACTTGGTGCTGGAGCGGGACCTGTCCTCTGAACTGACCAAATATGGGACAGGGTTTGAGAGAAGAGTGTCTCTGTCACATGATGGCCACAGCGTGGGAGACTGGTCCCTGATCTGGGATCGTGCTGAGCTGGAGGATGAAGGTGACTACTTCTGTTCTGTCCACAGAAACGGCGCAAGGGAAGGATGGGGAAACCCTGCTGCGGTGAGGCTGAAGGTCAGCAAGAGAAACCCGGAGCAGACCACCCTCTGCCCCACCCTCACTGTAAGTAGGCCTATCTCACACCATCATGCAGGTCACATGCAGTGTAAACTAACATGGCTTCTTGTGATCAGTTTGATATAGGCCTAACCACAAACATGTAGGCCTAGCTATCTGTAGAAGCTGTAAGTTTAATTTAAATCTCTCTCATCACCTCCTCCTCCCACCTGTAGCGGACACAGACCATCACTGAAGAGAGGATGGGGACCCTGGCCGTTGTGTTCACAACAGTATTTGTGACTCTTGCCATTGCCCTATTGTTCCTGCTTCCCTGGCTTGTGAAAACCCGCTGCGCCAATGGACCCTGTGGTTGTCGGGGTCAATTTCAGCCTGTTGTACAAAACGGGCAACATTCTCAAGCCAATGTAGTCGAGACTCAAATGACATCACACCCTGAAGTGCCCTAAAATGATAAAGGTGCCATGAAGGGTGCGCTGACCTGCGGACAGTAACGACATGTGGGGCATGATAATAGGCCCATTGAAGTTTCAAATGAACAAGTTAAAGACTTCCTCCCATAGAAGAGGGCAGGATCTTATTGCTCCCAAAGGACTCTGAAATCCACTTCTGCTGGTCACCTGTTACATTCTTATTTTTGTTGCAAGAAGTGCAAGATAGTTCATCAGCAATACATTGAAACAGACCTACTCTGTCAAACTGACAAAAAGTGGGATATGAATGTCAGGCTGTTCAAGTCTTTGATCGAGGGAGATTCAGCGATGGGACTATGCTGTGCCTTGTGAGCTGGCTTTATGGCCTTGGTCCTGCGTCTTAACCCAAGTCAAGGTCAAAGTCAGTCTAAAATTGACTTTAATTTCAGTGAGGGTAGGCTTTAAATGTTAACTAGCCTTCTGACACACAGACTGGGTCCATTGTTTTTATAAAGGTTTTGAGCAGGGGGCATTAGTCACCAAATATGCATGAATTTCAAAAACAAAGAGGAAGTTTGTCACTTGAGGGATGTCTGTTTAACTTTCATCATGTCAAGTTTTAAATAAAACTTTTACACTACCATTTCATCATCAGTTTCCTTTCTATTGCTTTCTTTGCACATGAATAAACTCCATCTCTGTCCTCTGAGTGACCGTAACTCGTCATGATTTTAAAAAAAAACAAAAAAAACATTAATATAAACTTTTCTTTTAGATTATGAGTAAGAACATGTCTCATGGCTTAAGTGCAGTAACTGATGACTTCTGTGCAATATATTTTACTCTATTTTTTTCTATAAGCTGCTAAAATGAGATTGCTCCAACAGAATTTCCTTGTACACATGCAATGACAATAAAGATCTATCACTGACACTGGATTAGTCCGGTTTAAACCTGCTTTGCCCACATCCACTCAAACTCCTATGTCTAGCTTATTTGCCTCAAACTCTCACTACTTTTCTTTTCAGCATTGTTTGAAGTTGACATCCTGCCATGATCCCCCTGAGAGTGACTCATCAGTAAACGCACAGCTCCTCCAGCGCGTATGTGTGTGTGTGAGGATCACAGCAAGAGAGAGTTCTCGCTGTTGTGTTACAGTCTATGGTGTTAACAGGAACCGCACAGTGGCAGTTTAAAGACATTATGACTCCAGACTTGATTTCCAGTCGTATAGCCTACTATAAAAACAAAGACGTTAAGACTCCATTTAAACTGATCTCAGACCTGACACTAGACTTAATTTCAGAGGGAAATATTGTACTTCACTAGAGGAAAATAAAATATTTTAGATCCATTGTGACTTTCAGGTTGTATCGTTTTCTTTATCCCAAATAAACATCCATAAATCTGCTAAGAACTCACAGATAAAAGACGCTCCTTATATTAACAGAACTTGCATGAGAATAAACACGTTTTCTTTAGTATCTAAGTAATCCAGTGTAAATGGTCTGTACATACACGGGCACACTGCCAACATGAACTGACAATAGCTTATTCTGCATTCCTTAAGTCATTCATTCAAACACATTCAAACAAATAGTCTGAGGTAGTAAATAAATAACGGGTCTCAAGTTGCAGCCCACAGCATAACAGCACAGACATATTATTCTTCTGGCTTCCATCCCATCAAGCATTACAGAGGAAATTTAATTTCCAAAACCTGACAGTAAGATTTCACAAAAGGCAACAGGGTCAGGACTCTTACACCTGTTTTGCTGATGGTCCATGACTATGTACTCACAACTGTACTGTTTCTGCTCATCTGGTCTGGTGTACGAACCTGCTGCTACATAGCGTTGCCGTGAAGAAACAAGGTGTTTTGACCCGCACACGCTCACCCTTTATAAGTAGTTGTACAAGTTGCCTATCTGATGACATGTTTCATCATATATGGTATCATGTTGCATTTAAGAGAACAGGCCTTCAGGGGGCAGAGCAGCATTTGGCAGTGGGCCAGGGCCAGATAAATTAGAGAACGTAAGAAGTCAATATAATATTATGGCAGTAAGGGAAGAGCACTACTGCTGTCACTAATTACTTCCTTTACTAAATCATGGGCTGTAGCAACTTGTGAGTATCTCTGGCTACTTCCACTGTCTCTAAATATGGTTACTCAAGTACTTCCCTCCGTTAGGAAGACTAAGAAACTATACTATACAATTTCAATACTATAATGAAATTGTACCTCACATTCACCTTGACCTTCTGGGCAGGACGTGGCCTTGTGGATAGCCCAGTGCTCCCTTCAGGGATGGGTTATATGCAGAGGATGAATCTTGCTGCATGTATGTGATAAATAAAGTACCTTTACCTTTACCTGACCTGGTCACCCACAAGAGCTGGTGTATTGATGCATTGATCAGCAGAGAAATCAGACAATATGGGCAGTCCTTTTGTAGATTAGAATCATACACACGATTTTATTAATTTTCCTTCAAATGTGTTATTATACACACACAAAATCAAAGGTGGAAAACCTACAACAGATAAAATGGTTTACAAAGACATGAAGATAAAATGAATATACAACAAAACACGTAATAATCTGCCGTTGTAATCCTACAGTTTATGAGCATTGTGCCTGGATCTGATGTTCACAACAACACGGTAGATTTTTAAGCAACAGAGGCGCATGCTTCTGGCGGGAATGTCTCAATGAGCTGCAGTAAAAAATGAAGCTTTCCTTACGAAGGCACACAGTCAAGGTGCTTTTCTAATCCGAACGTAAGCCGACGATACAAACTTCCCCGCGCAGCTTGATTCAGTTATAACAACAAAACTGTTTCATGGGGGAAGAAGAGATTGATTCAATGACTAACGCAGGACAGAAAGGGTGCAGGATTTGAACTAAACAACCAGTATGAAGGAAAATTGATACATACACTGATATATATATTTGATAAATAACACAACTTAAAGATCAGACAAATAAGAAAATAAAAGATACAAAATGTTGGCAATGTACAGCTTGTAACAGAACACACAGCATGGATCAAATGTCAAGGGGTTACATGTCATCGTATGACCGCATTAAACGAGTTGTTACTCACAGGCAGCTTCAACTCATTTTTAAAGGGGATATGTTACACAATATTGAAACAATATCAACATATGTTAGTATGAGTCACTATTTCAGAAGGAAACGGCGTCCGAGTCCTCCTGTTTATCACCTCAAGCCTGCAAGTTGATGTTTAAGTTGTTTGTTCTTTTGGATCACTGCTTTTTACAATACATGTTTACTAATAATACAATATGATGCTTCCCTCTCCAGGCAACCAAGAACAAGACGAGATCTGGGCTGCAAATAAACAAAATCTAGTTATTCTATTCTGGTATAAACTCAGATGAGAGCAGAACTTCACTTGTTTATTTTACTACCTCTCTACCCCCATGCTTCTTCTCCACCACCCTCCTCCCTGCCCTCCCTCAGTGCACCAGCTCCAGCTGGCTGGAGGAGAAAGGCAGGACGCCGCTAACGTAGTAGGCGATGCCCAGGGACAGGAGGGCGATGACCACCAGCAGCAGCAGGACCCTCCAGAAGCCCAGATCCTCCACAAACTCCTGCCAGGTGGTCCTGAAGCTGGACAGGACGCCCTCACTGCTCTGCAGGTTGGGGTTGAGTAAGGAGTGGCTCTCCATCGCACTGAGACAGACAGACAGAGGGGGAAACAGATAAGCTCTGCAATGCTCCTTTTGATGCAGGATAGACAGAGAAGAGGTCACAGTGAAGTCACAAACAGGTGGAGACAGCTTATCTGGGTCTGCATCAGGAGGACACAAAACAATTAAAGTGCACACAGAAAATTAGGAGCACAGAGAAAAATGTTTAAGTAACACAGAGTTTATTAACTATTATGTACATATTTATACTACGTGTGTTTGTGTGCTCCTTCTCATTTGCATTTATGATGTGAATACCAGTGGAGGACTATGGAAATGAAGACGCTGGTATCTGGACACTCGCCACGGCCTTAAAATACTGTCAAAGCTTTGTGAAAATTTGACACGTTGAAAACTCATCACAGAAAACTCTACTATGATTGGTGCGTTGCAACTTGTGACATGTGGGACTTTTGAACCGGACAGAAACAGATACACCAGCACACTTAATGTAAGATTAATTAACAATATTTATAATAATGGATTACAGCAGGTTGTAGTCTTTACTAGCACACTCTGCACATAAATAATCTTTCCAGTTCACATGTATCTGGTTTTAGGGTCATAATGCAGTGAAATGGTCGCACTGTAGAGCCTCTGCACAGAGAATCATTTACTGCTCTGGCACCTTTTTTGTTTTGTGTTTGTTGTTTGTACATACTTGTTCCATAAGTAAAAACAACAGGTGGATGAAACACAGTTATGGGCTTTTTAGGATGAAATCCCCTCTTTGTGTGACTGTCACTCTGCTGCAACACAAAGTAGAAATTGTGTACTAACAACAACTTTGGAAGTTAGTGTCAACAGAACCATGATTTTTGCACAGAATGAGGTCTGTGGATTTTGTCCCCCGTCTCTTCTAATGTGCAGGAAATGTCTGCCACTCAAAATGTCCTCAGTGTACTTACCGGCAAGGGAGCTTTCATTTAAGACACATAACCTTTCTTTAAACACAAAGATGCCTTGATGGTGTCAGCATTTGTTCTTCAGTCCAGCTGCTGAACAAGCATAGATTCCCAGGACAGACACATGGCCCATCACAGTCCTGTTAAGGCTCAGGGAGAAGTGATCCGCAACTGATTTACACTCACTCCATTCCTTCAGCAATCAATCGACCCTAACAGGCCTCAGGCCTCCTTTATCCACACAGCAGTGTTGACATATATTGATTTTGTTTGCACTGTTAAGAGAGGGATGTTGTTTTAACTTTCATCTGTCACTTTTTGTATCGCATTAAGTTTTAAATAAAGCTTTTACACTGCCATTTTATCACAGATCAGTTTCCTTCCTTCCTTCCTTCCCGTCTACCCTGTTGGCCTCACCACCACCTCCCTCCCACACAGTCAATCATCCCTCCCTCACAAGTGTATTTCTGCGTCGAATCGCCTCTGCGTAGCCTCGTCTCCTACGCCGTCGCCTGACATGCACCTCCTTAAAAATGTACTACACGTCGAGTCGACGCGGACCGGAAACTCTGTGACTGGTCGGCTTCGCAATGCCTCCGAGCCGACAGGAAGTGCCCCAGCTTTGTAGTAACCTTTACAAGCGGCCAAAACGCCGGCTGTAACATGGTGGATCAATACATTTAACCGTCACCCGAGTGAAATGATTCGTTTCACTATCAGAATGTGATCCCTTCAGTCGATAACATTTGAAAAGGCTACACCAGCCGCACCCCTATTCACTTTAGCGGAGCACTAAACTTGAAGTTAGCCTGCTCGGACGGTAAAAGTCAACACAGTGGACGCTGTAGCGCTACTGCCGACTAGCGTTTGGGGCTGTAATTGCAGAATGACGGATAAATAATGCATGGCTACGGCGTAGCTATGCACGTAGACCCTACGCAGGAGTATAAATCAAGCTTTACCTCTCATTATCTGCCATCTGCATGGTCTCCAGCTTGGAGTGCGGGCCTCTGTTGAAGCCTTTCACCTCCTGCTCCTCCAGTCCTTCCAGCAGACGAATGGCATCCTTGTTGACACCGCGTCTCTTTGCCAGCACCAGAGGGGTTGATCCATTGTGGTTACTGTTAGACAACAGACAGCGCAGTTAGACATTAGAGTCAAAGGAAGTGCCAGCCCACACAGCCACACACCGTTCAAATAAGCCTGAATGAAACTGAGAATGACATGCAAGGCTACAAAGGAAAGAAAAATGACTAAATAATCTTAGATAGTGTTTCTCAAACACAGTGTTACTACCAGGTCACAACATCTGAAAACTACTTTCCATTCACACCCACTTCTGTAATGAGTGTATTTAGCCCACGGTACTAAATCCTTTTCTTCTGTGGTTTCCTAGTCATAACAGTTGGCCTGTAGCTGAGATTGTTCATTAGTCATGGTAATAAATACACGTGTGCTGAGTATCAAAAACATTGTGGTTTCATTTGTTTTATTAGTAACATGTTTTGTCAGGACAACAAGTCTGAACTTAAACACCCTCTAAATGAGAAACACCACTTGCACCAGACTTTACATATTTCAGGCAACCGTGTCAGCAGGGCCGAGAGTAACATCAAAGCTAGACTGTGGATTGTCTGTGCAATCAAAACTGTCTAAAAAGCTCTGTCCTACAGTATAACTGACTATGACTAAGAGAGTGTTGCTGTTCAGGCTAGGTGCGTTACACTGCCTATATAACATTTCACTATGGTACCAATACAAAGAAGATACAATTTTAATTTATAAACATGTATTTCAGTCCCAAATAATAATGTGTAATTAAACACTGTAAGACATAAATAACAAAAGAGACATAATTAACAAAGTAGTTGTGCATGTAGTACAGACAGTGTAAACTCTACAGAGGCAGGTTGTCAGTATTTGTTCGTGTCCATGTTCATGTTCATGTGTTGTGTGTATGTGTGTGTGTGTGTGTGAAACTAATCAGTGAGGGTTTGGCAGCACCATGGCTTTACAACAACCTCATAATAAATAAATAACAGAGAGGAGAGAACTGATTAAGTGCAATAACAACAATTTAATCAAAGTAGCTTTTCCTCAGGTTTTACTCCAGTCAAACCAAAGTTGAAGTGTACCTATGATACAAATCACAGACCTCTACAATGTAAGTAGGAAAACCTGCAAAATCAGCAGTGTATCAAATATTTGTTCTCCCCGCTGTATGTGACAAAAGGAATTCCTAAGCTCTGAGGCATCTGATTGAGACAGATTGGAAAATTTAGAATGACTTCTCTACTGGAACCGGTTCTCAATTCACACACTAAACCCTGGCAGGCAAGAAGGGAATACCACGTGAAAATATGTGTCTCTGCAAGAAGATTAGACTGGATAGTGTTTACTGCTAATGGAAATATCAACCTGGCATGAACCCCGGGGATCTCATAATGCTTAAACAAAATATTTTAAAAAGTTACTGTCTCTACAGACCCTGTGTGCAAACTGTAAAGGGTCTAAACTGATTTCTGTCTGTGTAGGTAAATAGTTACCATCTCTCCCACACAGTCGGCCTTTATTATTTTTAACTATTAATTGCTCAGTGAGTGACTCTATATCCTGTAAAAAGATTAAAATGCTTCAGGGATTGTGAGAAAATAAAAGGATGTGTGTGTGCATGTGGAGGTGCTGACTCAGACATACCAATACAGACAGTGTGCCTGTAACATGACACCAAAAACAAGCTATTTGTTTCTGCTCAGCTTGGTAACTGAACTACAATGGCAGTCTGTTCTTTGAGCTTTTATGGCAAAGGGATTCACATAGTATAGTATAAAGTGTATAAAGTGTACAGAAAGGGGTTTGCAGCCGGGTGACAACAGTCAGTAACATAGAAGTGTGATTGAAACAGTAATTAATTAAAAACAACAATAGTGTAACAGTGAACAGAAATAATGTTCAGATATACAACACAAAGAAACCCAGATTAACACCAAACTAGGGCGGCACATTATATCATTTCTGCATCGTCATCGCAATGTGCCCTTGCGCAATAATCTCATCGCAGAACAATGCAATGTGAAGCAAGTTAAATTAACTTGACCACCTCAACTTTTTGGCTGCTTGATACAAAAGAAAAAAATAAAAAAAGGCTGAATGACTGATTGCATCACATTCACACACTGAGACAACAAGGGCTCGAGGCTGTCCCAGTGTTTAATGCTCTGTCAGTCAGTGACCATTTTCTCACCTGTGCAGGGTGGATTACCACTCTGTGTGTGTGTGTGTGTGTGTGTTTTCCACACATATACTTCCCCTGATAAAAACCTTCACGTTACAAGACGCGACGTGCAGATGTCATTTGTTAGTTTTGCCGTTGTGTTTGCTGCGTTTCTTTTGGAAAGCCCCTTGTGTTCTCTGCTCGGCTAAGCTTGGGCTTTTTGTATGAATTATATTTTAACCACTCCTGTCTGAACACCAATAACTGAACGGCCTCAGCACAAATAATAGCCAACAACTTTACCTACTTACAAATCCTGTCATTCTGTTGAACCTTAGCTTTCTAACATCACTGTGGTCAACGGTCACTGTCACAACGGCACACTTTATTTAAACTTTGTGTCTTGATATGCAAGAGTAGCACGGTTAAAAAACTGGGACTGCTTCATACATGGGCAAATATCAAAAGTTGACAGATGTACTAAAGAATGCGTCACTATAGCAAATTAAACCAGCCATGGTATAAATCAGGTTATCGCACCAGGTCAGCCTCTTTATTAACGAAGCTAATCACAACCTACTGCTTCACTTTTATCATAACGTAGCATTGTCTTTAAAGGGAAAATGCTAGCAAAGTAAAATTAAAAAGTGCTGTTAGCATGTATTCAGTGGGTGTTTGCTGCGCATACAACACAAGATTTTTCCAGGACATTTGACCTTTTCCAGCACGTGTGGGAACCCTGACATTAGTTGCTACTCATCACCATGAATGTCATCAATGACATGATGGTGCTGCCGACAGAATAATGAGCAATGACTCACCAGATTAGTTCATTCAACCTCATACGGTGTCAGATTTCAGCTGCACACTTCACCATCCACAGAAATGCCTCTGTGGCATCACACACTCTCCTGCACGCACGCACTACCAGAACAGACAGTATAAACTCTACAGAGGCAGGTTGCCAGTATTTGTTCGTGTCCACACCCATGTTCATGTGTTGTGTGTGTGTGTGTGTGCTTTTGTGAGTAAGGTGGTGTTGAGTCATTGCACTGCTCAACTTCCACGTGCCTCTAAGAGGCTCTTTCATTCATGGATATATTGCATTTCCTTTTTTAGACTAAATGTCTATTAACAGCTTTGTTGTTAACAGCTGCAGTTAAGATTTGTAGTGGCTCATATTAGAGTTGGGATGATTAGTTAATCATAAATGGCAGACAATTTCTGGATCTAACCTCCTAAATGTAAGGATCTGTTTTTCTCTGTTTAATACTACTGCAAACTAAATACCTTCAGGCTTTCAACCGCTGATCAAACCAACCAAGACATTTCAAGACAGACATGATGAATAACTGAGAAATAAACAGCAGATTCCTCACAGAAAAGAATCGTTAGTATCAGCCCTAAAATATATATATAAGCCTGTAAAACTTAAGTTTGCCTAAAGACAAATTAATTATCAGAGTAGTGAAGCTGTCAAACATGAGAGCTCATTACAGACCAGTTATCTAACAAACAGTGAAATCAGTGACGGTGTGGCAGCAAGGAATCACAGGGCGTGAACAGAGGCGAAGAGGAAAAACCCGTTCAACCGCCATGTGTATATGTGATAAAAGGAATTCACAAGCCCCGAGGCATCTGATTCAGACAGATTGGAAAATTTAGATCTCAGGAACAGCTTCTCAAAATCCTAACCCCGACAGGCAAGAGGCTACATTAGGGGAATAGTATTTACTGCTAATGGAAAAATCAATGAAGGTCAATGAATCAATGAAGGTCTAAACTGATTATGATGACTGTGTGGGTAAGTAGTTACCATCTCTACCAGAGTAGTGAGAAAATAAAATATAGTATGTGTCTGTGTGTGTGTGGGTGTGTCTGTGGGCCAAGGCTCACTCTCACACACACCATGTTTTTGTGGTCTGTTTCTGCTCAGCGTGGTATCTGAAATACAATGGCTGATTCACAGGACACATAATTATCACACATTATCACATGGCCGTATTGAGCACACATCCTTCCTCTATTGTTGATTTCTTCATATTTTAATAGCTCATCAATGAAAAATAATGGTATAAACCAAACATTTCAGAAGCTTAAAATAATTAATGTTTGGTATTTTTGTGTAAAACATTTACAAATGAATCCACTGGCAGTGCAGCAGAAAAGAGAGAGACTGGTGTTGATAAAAAGGTAGCCAGGGCAGGAAACGTTGCTCTGTCTTTATAATGTCTTCAAAGCATATCAAAGGAAGTAAGGGCAACAAGCCTGCATTTGTTCAGTGACTGTTTCCATTTCTCATAAACAGATTAAAAGCTTAGGGTATTGTCGAGAAAATAAATGAAATGAATGTCACACAGCTGTTTTGCACATGAATTTCATGCACTGCTGCTCAGTGTGGTTGACAAGAAGTTTCAGATCATTCAACTCATGTGGTGTCATTTCGGTGTAATCCTGTACGCCTGCAAAGACCGCAGCCACTCACACTGTTGTTAGAGCAAGTGCCCCCGACTAAAAGCCTGTCAGTACATCCAATTAAAGGATCCTTTAAAACCACATTAAGTGCATCAACCTCTATTAACAGTAATAACAGTGTGAAAGCTAACCTGTAAATGAAAGGAGTCACTATGTTAAACTCTTCTCTGGCTTACTGTGGGATTCTTGTTCTATCTCAAATGAGTGTGACTATAATATAGAGATGCCATGTGACATTGTGACCATTAAGGGAAACTGAATCATATAAAAGACATGCCCGACGAAGAGGAAGAATTTCTCCTTGACGAAAAGAAGAAGTCAAAAGAAATGTGCTTCCTTAAAGGAGAAAGGGGCTGAGGGGAATTACAGAACACATAAAAGGAAGTTATGTCCCACCTAAAAGAAAGTCACATTCAAGTGCTGCCATGGAGT